GTATCATTATTGTTAAAATTACGTCCACATTTCGCACATATCAATTACTGGTTTCTAAAGCAATAGCGAAGTGCAATATCCCTTTTCAGATTGTACACCTGTGATGGTAGTAGGTATGTGGTTGAGTGTCCCTGTTTCCCCAACTTAGGTCGCCTACAGCGGATATTAGGGAACCGTGAAAATCTTACGATTTGCTAGTGTGTATTTATTGTTAAAATTACTGCTATTTTCCGCACAGCTGAATTACTGGTTTGTAAAGCAATAGCGGAGTGAAATATCCTTTTCAGATTGTACACTTGTGATGGTAGTAGGGATGTGGTTGAGTGTCCCTGTTCCCCCAACTTAAGTCGCCTACAGCGGATATTTGGGAACCGTGAAAATCTTGCGATTTGTTCGTGTGTAATTACTGCTAAAATTACTCCCACTTTCGCGCATATCAATTACTGTTTTCTAAAGCAATAGGGAAGTGCAATATCCCTTTTCAAATTGTACACTTATGAGTGTTGTAGGGATGTGGTTGAGTGTCCCTGTTCCACCAGTTTAGTTCGCCTGCAGCGGATATTTTGGAACCGTGAAAATCGTACGATTTGCCGGTGTATCATTATTGTTAAAATTACGTCCACATTTCGCACATATCAATTACTGGTTTCTAAAGCAATAGCGAAGTGCAATATCCCTTTTCAGATTGTACACCTGTGATGGTAGTAGGTATGTGGTTGAGTGTCCCTGTTTCCCCAACTTAGGTCGCCTACAGCGGATATTAGGGAACCGTGAAAATCTTACGATTTGCTAGTGTGTATTTATTGTTAAAATTACTGCTATTTTCCGCACAGCTGAATTACTGGTTTGTAAAGCAATAGCGGAGTGAAATATCCTTTTCAGATTGTACACTTGTGATGGTAGTAGGGATGTGGTTGAGTGTCCCTGTTCCCCCAACTTAAGTCGCCTACAGCGGATATTTGGGAACCGTGAAAATCTTGCGATTTGTTCGTGTGTAATTACTGCTAAAATTACTCCCACTTTCGCGCATATCAATTACTGTTTTCTAAAGCAATAGGGAAGTGCAATATCCGTTTTCTGATTGTACCCTTGTGAGTGTTGTAGGGATGTGGTTGAGTGTCCCTGTTCCCCCAGTTTAGTTCGCCTGCAGCGGATATTTGGGAATCGTGAAAATCGTACGATTTGCTGGTGTATCATTATTGTTAAAATTACGTCCACTTTTCGCACATATCAATTACTGGTTTCTAAAGCAATAGCGAAGTGCAATATCCCTTTTCAGATTGTACACTTGCGATGGTAGTAGGGATGTGGTTGAGTGTCCTTGTTCCCCCAACTTAGGTCGCCTACAGCGGATATTTGGGAACCGTGAAAATCTTACGATTTGCTGCTGTGTATTTATTGTTAAAATTACTGCTATTTTCCGCACAGCTGAATTACTGGTTTCTACAGCAATAGGGAAGTGCAATATCCCTTTTCACATTGTACACTTTGTGAGTGTTCTGGGCGTCTGGGTGAGTGTCCCTCTTCCCTCAACTTAGGTCGCCTGGAGCGGATATTTGGGAACCGTGAAAACCTTACGATTTGCGGGTGCGTAATTATTGTTAAAATTACTCCAAAATTTCACGCAGATGAATTACTGGTTTCTGAAGCAGGAAGGAAGTGCAATGTACCTTTTCACATTGTCCATTGTGTGGGTGTTGTAGGCATGTGGGTGAGTGTCCCTGTTATCCCCAACTGAGGTTGGATGGAGCGGATATTTGGGAAAAGTGAAAACCTTACGATTTGCTGGTGTGTAATTATTGTTGAAATGAGTGCAACTTTCACACAGATGAATTACTGGCTTGTGAAGCAGGAGGAAAGTGCGATGTCCCTTTTCCATTGTACACTTTGTGAGTGTTCTGGGAATGTGGGTAGTGTCCCTGTTCCCCCAACTTAGGTCGCCAGGAGCGGATAGTCGGCAACCGTGAAAATCTTACGATTTGCTGGTGTCTAATTATTGTTAAAATTACTACCACTTTTCATAGAGACGAATTACTAGTTTCTGAAGAAGGAGGGAAGTGCAATTTCGATTTTTACATTGTACACCTTGTAAGTGTTGTAGGCATGTGAGTGAGTGTCCCTGTTCCCCCTACTGAGGTAGCATTGAGCGGATATTGGGGAACAGAGAAAATCTTACGATTTGCTGGTGTGTAATTACTGTAATTATTCTCAATTTTCGCACATATCAATTACTGTTTTCTAAAGCAATAGGGAAGTGCAATATCCCTTTTCTGATTGTACACTTGTGAGTGTTGTAGGGATGTGGTTGAGTGTCCCTGTTCCCCCAGTTTAGTTCGCCTGCAGCGGATATTTGGGAACCGTGAAAATCGTGCGATTTGCGGTGTGTCATTATTGTTAAAGGGGAACTCCAGTCCAAATACAAGTGTGGTTTATATGAAAGGTCTTACCCTTATTAGAATGTTCGTCAAGTATTTCGGTCTAAATATTAATAGTAAAGGAGAAATTGCTTGTCAAAGTTTGCGATTTTGTCAAATTTGGGTGCCATGTTGTTCTTTTCATTGCAGACTCGGATTTGTCCAGCGCCCTCATTTTTGACGTCATTGCGTGCTTCGAAGGTGTTGTTCATATAGAAAACTATGGCTTTGTATGGCGATTTAATAAGAATATCGATTATTTCTCTGCTTCTAATTCTTTAATTAACGCGAGTTTAGACCGATTTAACAGAGATATTTTACAGACGGAGATATTTTACATTACCGAGCTTCTGATTGAGGTGAATCAAGAGTTGCCAGCCAATGCCAGGTCGCTGGTGTAGCTAATGTAGAAAATATATCATATATGTTGCTCCTTGCGAATCTGGGCATCTGACTCTCGTTTGACTAGATACTTATTGAATATTGTGCAAATTTGCGAAATGGATTTTCTTATTCTGACTTGCTGAAAATATATCAATAGTAGTTAAAATCGGTTGGGCAAGGCTGAAACATCTAGCAATAATATACTGCAGTAGCGGAAAGTGAGCTTGTTGGTTACTAACTAGGTTCTGAGACTTCTGAAATAGTCTGTGACAGTGTTCTGAACCAAAAAATTCATAGGCATGTTGCATTTAAGGCAGTTTATATAAAATAACAGTAAACTATAAACCTGTTAATTTAATTTTAAACCATCGCAACAACTGCGTATAAACATTTCATGTGGGTACTTACTAGTAACTTGACACTGTCGTGTATAAATAAAACCCATATTGAACCCAACACCACAACGAATGTTTAAAACCTTGTGCTAGTCTGTCTGTTATAAAACAATTCTTTTGTAAAGATTGTCTTTTTAAAAAAAATCTTATCGTACCTTATTTAAATAGCATTACCTGAACTTCAGGTTACAGCCAACAGACAAATATATTTCTATAAACAGCTTGTCATGCGACATATGATAGTAGCCTAGCATGTAGTCTGCCCTCAGAATTATCTAGGTAACATTATTTTATATTATTGATGTCTAAATTCATTTCATATATGCAAATGGCTTGACACAAACTCGCAAGTCAAAGAATCGCTAAAAGTAAGACGTCTATTTACCGTAATTGCACAATAAATAACAAAATGTTTTCAGCGACTGAAACTGCTTAAGCCCTAACTCAAGGACAGGCTGATTCAATTTGCAAACTTAAACAAATGATTAAAGACATGTTAGCAGTAAAAGATACCCATGCATTCATACGAGTGACGACTCTCTTCTCTCTCACCTCTCTTCGATTAAAATTGATATAAATCCATGGCCACGACTACTGTACATCTGTGACTTTCAGTGAAATACCCGATACTAAACAGCAATTAATCTTATTGCTCGCATACATGAGCAATCTAAACAGAAGTCGCATAAACTGATAAATCGTTGCTGAACGCAAACGCAGCATCAATATTCATGCAAATTGAATCCGAGAGTCCAACAAGAGCCAGATCCACACAGGGCAACAACCGCAACATATAATTATTTAATTCTGCGCAAGCTTTCCGTACAAAACATGAACATGACCTGGGAACTTTTGATTCACCTCAGCCAGAAGCTCGGTAATGTAAATATCTCCGTCTGTAAAATATCTCTGTTAAATCGGTCTAAACTCACATTAATTAAAGAATTAGAAGCAGAGAAATAATCGATATTCTTATTAAATCGCCATACAAAGCCATAGTTTTCTATATGAACAACACCTTCGAAGCACGCAATGACGTCAAAAATGAGGGCGCTGGACAAATCCGAGTCTGCAATGAAAAGAACAACATGGCGCCCAAATTTGACAAAATCGCAAACTTTGACAAGCAATTTCTCCTTTACTATTAATATTTAGACCGAAATACTTGAGGAACATTCTAATAAGGGGAAGATCTTTCATATAAACCACACTTGTATTTGGACTGGAGTTCCCCTTTAAGTGTTTTTTCTTTCTGGGAACCTGGATTTAGCGCTCAAATTTTCCGCAAAAGATTGCAATAAATAGGATTAAAAAATCAGCCTGGACCTAAACTTTACTCGACTGGCTTTGGCAGGTTTGGTTAATTTTCGTCTAGCATTTGGCATGTAGGACGTCACAGGCGAAGATCCCAGGTATAGACACTGAACTATATAACATTGTATATATATAGTTCACTGGGTATAGATACCAGTCTTCTCAAGTGTGAAAAGCGCGCTGAATATTAAAAATAAAAGGCCTAGGTCTAGAAAAATTCACATTAATATTGTCATTATTTTGTGATTGCCTTATATGGTGTTGTCGTGTGAAGCAATGTTTGATAAGGCATACGAGATAAAAAATTCAAATTTCCTACCGCAGGCTATACGAATATTTTTATGAAACTTTTTCCGTTGTAATTTAGGTATCGAGTACTAAGATTAATTAGGTATTCAATCGTTCCAGTAATCAAATTTTCAGAATTAGCTGTCAAGCATAAAAAATGCATGTAAAAATTTCTCCAAAAGTGTACTTTTTCCACCTCTGCTGTCCGCCATCTTGGATTTTCGGGATATGCATATTACGTCATTAGTAATGGACTATAATGGAGTCACGCAATCTTTTTACCTTGACAACCAGTAAATCAATACGAACAGAAAATTAGTTTCTGATTGCTATTTCAAATTTCGATTTGAATAGAAATATTTTAAACAACTTTTGATCTTTACTCGATCATTTAGAGGTAATCTTATAACCATAAGGGATTTCCCCGAACCCAAACTTTTGCCAATGATTAAAATACATAATTCCAAAGATTCAGAGTGTCAACATATTATCTAGAATTACTTTACAATAAAGAAAGAAACTGTAGTCTGTAGTTCACGTGTTCAAAATAGATGTTTCAAAGGAGGGTTACCCTTCTAGCAAGATTCCACTGTATCAAATTACTTAGCCAAACTAAAAAGGGCTGGACATAAAGATGAGGCATTTTGCCAAGCGAGGCACTTTTGATGTATTGAAATGGGTCACGGTTATTGACTCTAACTGCGTTATACTTAATGGAATAAGTAAAAAAAAAGACGATCCATTTTGACGACATAATCTAAACATATCGACAACTTTAGTTTCTTTGAACATCGCTTGGCTGCCCTTCATACGTGCTGACACATTTTGATACATCAAAATCAATCAATTTCAATACATACAGAAAGTCAGCAAAAAGACGACATACTGTTAGGAATGACATCAACAACGCGATGCATGTCTAAACGATTTCATATACACAACCTAAGTTAAAAAATCTATATCAATATTTTTGAAAAGAAAAGCTTAGGAAAGAGAAAAACCACAACGAACATTACAATTACTTGCCCAAAATCCATAATACATAAAATGTTTTCAACAATTTTATTAATATCTCTGTACCAACAAATTACTAGAGTTTGAAATCACAGGTGATCACCGATCAGCAACAAATTGTTTATGGTGGGCGAAAGAGCAGGGTTTCCAATCGTAAAAAGTTATCACTACCGAATACCATGATCGGAAAATTTTGGAACGTTATTTCAAGCCCTGAATAGTAGCTACAAATTGTTTTGGCTTAAATTTATTAACTTTCATACATAAATACTGTATATCTGTGTTTATGTACACGACGTTTTCACTCCATTTACTGTATCTCTGCAAATGAATTAGAGGAAGTAGTATCATTGTTACTGTCAGGTGGTGTTAACCGTGTTTCGTTGCAGCTGAGAGCTGTGTTAGAAACGAAGCGACTCAAACATGAGCGAGTCGAAGGTTCACTGCGACTATGGCCTGCAGACTATGCCTATGACCTGCAGTGCTGTGCATCGAAGGCCGTTTTTGTCAACCGGAGCCGCAGTTGCTGTGCTTTCTCTCAGCTCCGGCTGGAAGGTCAGAAATGTGACAATTTCGTATAATTAACGTTGGCTACCAATAATGGCAACATTGAATTATTTGAAAGTAATAAAATCTGAAGTCATATTTGTCAAACTATTTCGCCATTTTTCGCCACTGCCAATGTTCAAATTGTAATAAGCCCTTATGTCTGTGATCTATTTATGGATCATGCTTTGATATACGCCAGCTTACCTTGGGGATAAAATTGAGTCGAATGATATCTGCCACTATCTGGTTATAGACTTTATATAATCCCTGTGTTGTGAACAAACGCAGCCGGATCGATTTGAGTTGTAAAGCGCCGGAGCCGATTCTGGAGCTGAAAAACCGGCGTTTGCACAGCATTATCGCTCGATCAAGAAGCAGAGCTACTGAATTAGAGGTGGAAGGGTTAGGTTTTGGTAAGGAAAGAAGATCGGAGTAAAACCTTTGAAGTACTGGAGAGAACTAACCAGAATTCCACCAAACTAAGTTTTCAAGCATATTAACTGAGTGCAGGGTAGTCACTAACGGGGCTAGTCATACCAAAATAAATTTGTCCACTAGAACTAAAGTAAAACTAAACGCAAAACACCATACTAAAACAACAGGAATTGGGGGCTTAACTCGGTGGTAATGGTAACGTGCTAAGAGCATCTTGCCATCCGTACAGTATCATCATTGCAATTTTATGAAGTTACGTTTTTGAAACTATTGCTCTAGATCTATCGTTAAGCACTGCAAGGGAAATTGAGATCTTGATGTTTTGATCCTGCGACACACAGATGTGACAACGTTTCAGGTTTTCCATATCCAGCAATATGGTTTAATAAATCTTCAGCAGCTAGCCTGGAACAAAATAACAAATCAGTGGCTTTAGCATCAGAAAAGCTACAATATAGAGTTGGCGCGAATACCAGTAAAATTAAGTTAATCTACTGTCCAGATGAGCTACGCACAGGGTGCGATAATTCGCGTTCTATTGGCGTACCAGAGCTACGCCAATATTACGGCCTGGTACTTCTTTCTTTCCAGCCACGTACCACACAGGTACTCTCGCAGTCAACATACTGTACTTGCGCTCTGCTATATGACTTTTGCACAACCAAATTAAGTATTCAAAGCCGTAATAAATCTGTATACATGTATGTGTACGTCTGGCATGTCTTGGCATGAAACACGACTGGACTGATGGAACTAAGGAATGCTTGGAGACAATTGTAGTGTCTGTATAATGCAATTGTGCTTCTTGCTCTTATCCGTAGTTTCAGGTTACCGAATGAACACCTTTGAGAAACCTGTATAGTACTTCATTTCTTCTTCTACAGTAAGTACACCTTTAGCCTTAGGTTCGTATCAGCTCAAGTACGTGGCAATGATCATTAAAATGCCAGCCAGGTACGGATAAAAATCTTATCGTACCCTATGCCACATCTTAAACCTGATTTAAAATTTGTAATTATCACTTCAGTAATCATCGGGATCTGCGTCTCGGTAAATGTTTCCGGATAATCACGAAGGCACACCTCTTGAGCGATGTTATTTTTTAAAAATGGCTCAAATCTTACTTGTAGTTCCGTAATACACTCAAGTTGATAAATTAAACATAGCGGTGAAATATTTTGCATCTAAAGCCATTTTAACACTAATATGTTTCTTATTACCTATATTTAAGCATTAAAACCACCATACATCTTCCGATGTTATGTGTTGTGCCCAAGTTATCACAACACTAATTAACATTTCTCAAAGGGTGACATTTGGTATAAGAAAGTAAAATAGTCGAATACTAAATCATCAAGTAGAATTAGTAGATATTCAAATACTGTACATGGTGTCGCCATAAGTATGCTAAATTGATAAAATAGATACAGTACAAGTAGATGTAGAAGGGGTAACATATAAACATAAATTATGAAACGCAGTTACAAACATCGCTCCAACAGAGGCCTGGTAACAAAGCCATCTTGTTTTAATTTTTCTGGTATTACACCATACCAGCTGTATAAAATCGAAAATAGTTTTAAAGGTAGGTAAAATTTAATGTTAATTGTTTCATTCACGTACTAAGGTGTGTATTAGATTTTGTATTAGATTTTTATTTCATAAAATTGGGTATTCGTTGATATATCGCAAAACCAAAAATCTGTATATTCTCGCACCTCTGACTTGTCCAAATTTTGAAACGAATAAAACCCAAAGTCAAGTTGCTCAGTTGGCAATTGTACAAACGTGAGATACGCTACTCAAAATGATTGGTACGTTAAAAAATGAACGGTAAAATCGTAAAAACAATGCCCGTTACAAACCGGAAGTGCTCTGACATAACGCAATTGCAAAACTTCTCACGTCCTCCATATAGGCCAGGTGGTGTCAGGGGTGTTCGAAAACGGGGGGAAACAAGCCCATAGGAGGGGAGGGCACTCTCACTTTCCCTAGAAATTGCTTTCTTCCAAACAAACAAAACAAATACAGCCTTTCCTGTGAGGACCGGAAATGTGTAACTCGTCCTAATCATGATTTGGACAGAACTGGAACTACTGTATAACTTTTGTCAACTACAGTATAAGCCCAAGGCCATATTAAAATTTTAAGGACAATGGCTCTCAGCTTGTAAAGTCCTTATAATGTAATATAATAGAATGTATTTTAATGCCGTAATGTTACCACATGTATTAATATTGGCAGAGGTGCTACTTTTATCATGTATGGTGACACTAATTTCCACCACAACATTTTGTTTCAGAAATTTCTTACATTCCGAGCATTAATAGAGAACAAAAAACAATTTGAACAGGATAAAGGTATGGTATGTTGGAATTTAGAAGCAGAAGCTATGGGTAGCAGTGTTTTGGGGTCACAGGGACCAGGGACCTAGCTTGCAAGGGTTTGAGATTTGCAGTATCCTTGTATCCTGACAATACCAATTTTGTGTTTTGGATACCAGATGTCAAGACCTTGGTATCCAAATTGGATAGGCAACAAGGTGTTGCCTACCTGAGCCATTTTCATAGCAACATGTTTGATCACAGGCTTTAGGACCAATTCAATTTGACAACAGTATTATTCTATCTAAATAGCAGTTAAAATAAGAGTGTACATCACCTATGTTATTCAGTATCTTGCTTGGTAGTGCGTCTAAATCCATAAAACACATTTACATATTATGCAAATACTGTATATTTTCAAAATCCACCATATTTATTTACATTAGAACCCAAGCTTTCAAGGCTGACGCAAAATATATGTCACACTTCTGATGTCATGCCTGTGATTTCCACTGATAATAGGAGGGTAGGATCAAAGTGGGTGTTGTCAGTTGCTAACCCAATCAGCTGTCTGGGTTCTATAACACATGACCTGTTCAAATCGTTCCAAGCGGGAAGAATCTTTGTGCCATATAAGGAAGTAGGTAACACATTTATGCCATACTATATATGAACAGAAGTATTGCTCCCTCTTGCTTCAAACAATGAAATAATTGGATAATCCTACTCTTTTATTATCAGTGGAAATCACAAGCTTTCGCAAGCTTTCTGTTCTTGGGTTCTAATGAAAATAAGTATGGTAGATTTTGCAAATATACAGTATTTGCATTATACGTAATATTGCATTATACATTATTGATTTAGAAGCACTGTCATGCAAGAAGTTGAATAATTCAGGTGCTGTACACTCTATCTTAAATGCTATTTAGATAGAATACTACTGTTGTCAAATTGAATTGGTTCTAAGGCCTGTGGTTTGATCAAGACAATTACAAAAGTTCTGACATTGTAGTTATTGTAGCCATTACCATGATCAAACTCTATTATTAATGGCAAACCTCTTACAAATAGCAAATGTTTGAGTTCATGGCAACTAAACCATATAATACACTGAAAGCCTTTTTTTGAGAACTTGAATAGCAGATTTTCCGTTTGGATACCAGATTAGGAATCACTCAGGTATCCCACCCGATTAGTGCGTTTGACGCCGGCTGACAGCCGGAAATTTTGTCTCCGATTGCTCGGCTGCCAGCCGGGCTGTACTATAGTATACTGTTCGTTCAAAAAATGCGCGCATTACGGAGACTGGTTCTAGAATGTTTCATAAGCAGAAAACCACCAAAATTACATTAAATTTTCCGAAAATCATCGAAATGCGTCTAAATTCATCTTCCCAACGCATATAGCTAGCTATGCGACAGGTAAATAAACGAGAAAAAAAAACAATTTCGGCAAAAAGAAAATTTCAAATTCATTTGCGCGCACTCCGGGACCGAACTCACGACCTTCAGCATATGCACTGAGTCTTGTCCCTCTGCGCCACCACGTCTTACACGAAAAATATGTTAATTTATTGTATAGATACAGGTTATTCTTAGCCAGCGCGATTAAAGATTGCGTAAATACGTACACCATCGTACACGGCCAAGGGTACAGTAGCAGCCGAGCCGTATCTACACTTTAATACAATACTTACAATACATCGCGGCATAGATCACGGCTTCCAGCCGGGGTTATTTAACTGTAATACAATACTACGATGCAATACGAGTGTCAGCCAAGCCTGTCGGTAGTATACTGTAGTATACTACGATACTTCACGGCTACCAGCCGACAATACGGCTACCAGCCGACAACACGGCTATCAGCCGGGCCTGTCTGTAGTATACTATAGTATACTACAATACATCACGGCTACCAGCCGGGGTTATTTAACTGTAATAAAATACTATAATGCAATAGGAGTGTCAGCCGAGCTTGTCGGTAGTATACTGTAGTATACTGTAGTATACTACAATACATCGCGGCTACCAGCCGGCAATACGGTCAATACGGTTATCAGCCGGGCCTGTCTGTAATATACTATAGTATACTACAAACACGCCCGGCTGATAGCCATATTGCCGGCTGGTACCCGCGATGTATTGTAGTATACTATAGTATACTACAGACAGGCCCGGCTGATAGCCGCGTATTGTCGGCTGGTAGCCGTGAAGTATCGTAGTATACTACAGTATACTACCGACAGGCTTGGCTGACACTCGTATTGCATGGTAGTATTGTATTACAGTTAAATAACCCCGGCTGGAAGCCGTGATCTATGCCGCGATGTATTGTAAGTATTGTATTAAAGTGTAGATACGGCTCGGCCGCTACTGTACCCTTGGCCGTGTACGTATTTACGCAATCTTTAATCGCGCTGGCTAAGAATAACCTGTATATATACAATAAATTAACATATTTTTTGTGTAAGACGTGGTGGCGCAGAGGGACAAGACTCAGCGTGTATGCTGAAGGTCGTGAGTTCTGTCCCGGAATGCGCGCAAACGAATTTGAATTTTTCTTTTTGCCGAAATTGTTTTTTTCCTCGTTTATTTACCTGTCGCATAGCTAGCTATATGCATTGGGAAGATGAATTTAGATGCATTTCGATGATTTTCGGAAAATTTAATGTAATTTTGATGGTTTTCTTCTTATGAAACATTCTAGAACCAGTCTCCGAAATGCGCGCATTTTTTGAACGAATAGTATACTATAGTACAGCCCGGCTGGCAGCCGAGCAATCGGAGACAAAATTTCCGGCTGTCAGCCGGCGTCAAACGCGCTAATCGGGTGGGTATCCACATCCGATTCCAGGAAGAAATTCAAATCTCAAACCCTGCAACTAACCCTTTTCAGAGATTTGGAGGAATGCCCACACCTTTGCACCCACCCCTGAGTGAATCTATTCCTGCCTTACCTTAATGAAGAGCATTTATAGACTCCTCTTTCATTGCTCATGAATGGTTGCTCTAGTGTACATCCCAACATTAAACCTGAAAATGAAAAGATAATATCAGTGTTGAGAAAAGCTGTCCATTGCAGAATAAATAGACCTAACCACAATTGTGCAATTTTTGAAAAAATATAAATACTGTAAGCTAATGCAAAGCAAACACATAACACAGACCCTGAAAAAGTGCTTGTTTAAGCAAGCACACCTACAGTAACACATGCCTTAAAACACGTCTGAATAAGAGAGTGAGATATAATAAAGTTGGCCCATTGTGGCTTATTACGTTAACAAGCCACATTGGCAGATAGTTTAGTTAACCTATGAGGGTGCACGACTCTTGAGGTGGCATGTGAGCAGTTTAATGCCCTGGACTAAACATTTCTTACAGTACTGTATAAAATAAAATAATTAAATTAAATAAAATAAAATAATAAAATAATTAAATAAAATAATTAAATAAAATAAATAAAATAATTAAATAAAATAATTATAATAATAATTAAATAAAATTAAATAAAATTAAATATAATAATTAAAATATAATAATTATAATAATTAAATAAAATAATTATAATGATTAAATTGTTAAGTGTAGTACTTACTACACTTAACAATTATTTTATTTAATCTTATCTGCTTGAATATAGGTAACAGTTTTGGAGTATGTACTGAAGATCAGGATGTATACCATTACAACATATTGGTTCATTTATGAGGATGTGGAGGTTCTCATCATTGTCATCACTTCAGTCCCATTGTATCCTGGGATACCCGAAGCATTAGACTGATGTATAGTCTAAATACATAATCATCAATACTCAGTATAGATTTTGCACGGGATGAAATAAAAAACATCAATTAGCCAAATGTTGTACACCTAAGCTTAGATTTAATTCACTGATATTTGATAAATAAAGCCAAATGTAATCTTCACTAATACAAACTTTGATTTTAAATTTGTATAATTAATATAAGAGTAAAATATTTAGTGTTTTCCTCGTGAAAGCCTGATAGACTGATAGTCATAGAAACAAGAAATGTAAAATATCTTTCTCTGGGTAAAATCGAAATGCTTTATTAAACAATGCTTGCAGAAACAGTTTTGATTGGTATTCCAATGTCTGTGGTTATACAACAGAGCTTGAAAAACACTACACAATACCTCTAAGTCTTTGGTATGTAGGGACAGGCGATACCAGCTTTTTAAATTCAATACAATACCAAGTACGATACTACACATTTCAGTCGATACACTCCCCACATTTCTGTGATTTTTATAAATGCTGACCAAACATATCACAGGTTCAAAGAGTTATAGAAATTACCATACTTTTCCCAACTATCAAAAGTATTGATAATTCTTCTATTATTCATATTTGATATTGGTATTGTACCCATCCCTTTTGGGATTTACTCACTACTTTGTAATATTCATTATTAGGCTATGTTAAAGATGCGGTACAGTCCGTATGTAAACAAAGGCTTTGTTTACATTTTGGTATCCAAAAATATTGAATTCTATTCTATTGATTCTAGAGTATAATAAATTACCAAGACAAAAAATCAAGCTTTGCAAGAACATAAAATGAAAAAAAACTTAATAAACTGTTTGTATAATAAAAAGAGGGCTCCTGTGTGCACATGCGCAGATCGGACTGTACCGCATCTTTAACAACAACGGCAACTCCAACAAGGAACATTTTAATATAATTCTAGCTTTTGAATATATTTTAGTCATCAATTATGGTCATCATAACAGCATTAATAATAGTATATGTTCTTTTCTTTGCAATCAAAGCAGTATTAAGAAAACACAAAGAAATCTTTCAAAACAAAACACAAGAGAACACTTAATGAATTGAAAATAAAATAAAAAAATATGCAAGAATTTTGCAAAACCATAGGGGGCAATACATAACTTTACATACATGCAAATACAAGATATGTCACAGTTAATATTAATTTATCAGGCACGATATTTAATTTATGCATGCATGAAAGTTTTAGTTTGTCATGATCAATAATTGTCACATATGCAATCATTTTTCGATTTTCACTGACTGATATTAAACTTTCAATTGTCACTTTGATCCTGGTTTAAGTTTTCCAAATATTTAGAAGCAAAATGTTATAAACATTTGGAAATATTTATAACATTTTCAGTTATTTGGTCTATGTACATATTTTTTCAAAATTCCTTTCATTGGCTGTTTTGTTAACTTTCCAAAAGTGAAAAATCGTGCGGCATTGTTGAATCGCGTCTGGTGTGTCTCGGCCTTTAAGCCTGCCGCACACAAGAGAAACTCGCTAACCTAACCGCCTCGTGTGGCAGCTAGCTCAGCTATGAATTTTCACTGCATATACGTTGGAAGAACTACTCAATAACAACATAATTGACAAAATGATTTGAATTTTCCTCCATTTTGTTCAAAATCACATGAAGAAACTGTGGTTTCTCATTGGCTAATTTATTCAAGCAGCTTGCAACATTCGCAAACGTTGAGAAAATGAAATTTTTCCTGGCGAAGTCGTCGAGGTGAAAAATATCAAACACGATAGATATTTTCCTCAAGGCCTCGAGGTCAAATCCTCACGAAAACAATCCGCACACGAGAGAAACTTTGTTGAGCTAGCTGCCACGCGAGACGGTTAGTTCAGCATGGTTTTGAGTGAAGGGCCTTCGGTTGTAGGTTTTAAGTGAAGGGCCTTCGCTCGAAACGTCGAAGGTTTCTTGTATTTTTCAGGTAGTTTAATAATAAGGCCTGCTCAAAGGAGGATGAGCGTTGATGAGGGTTGGCGATATCAACTCACATGATATAAAAATATATCATTGAAGCTTTTCCTTAAAGGTTTCAACAAAGTAGATGAAAACACCAGTATCTTTCGGCCAGTTTTAGAAGATGAACTTTTCAGCTTCCTTTATACCAAATAATTTATAAATGTTATTTTATATTATTTAACACGACGACATCACTTACCTACTTGTCCATTTTATATATTCCGCTGATTTCGTGTTGTATCTGAGCAGGAAGAACAGCCAGCTTTAGCAAATATAAAACGAAACCGATACTGTAAGTTAAAAGTTATTTCGCTGGCCTCAAAATGACATGACGTCATCGCTAGCCGATCCCGAGCATACGAAGTTATTCCGAGGGTACGACGAAATATACAAGATGGCGGACAGCAATGAGTGTGATTTTATATATACAGATGTAGATTGAAAGGGTTCTTAGGGTTGTAGGCTGAAAATCAAGTCTCATGTTAGAATTGTTGGATTATATCGCTGTTTTTTATGTATAGAAAAATCTGAGTAAAGATTTACAGAGGATATTTGTATATTTGGACGTTGGATTATGGTATAAAGTCGGCTCGCAGATATTTTCGCTAATTCAAAATACAGGTACAGTCGAACCTGTGTAATTTAAGCGGCACTGTATTAAGCAGCCACCCTTTGTTATAAAAAGGTCATGTGGCAAAGTCCCGAAAATTTCATGATATAAATACTATTTAGGGCATTCCATTTAATGTCCACCCCCCCCCCCCCTGCGGATGAGTTTTTCTGAAGGGTAACTCAAAAAGTCTTTTGTGAAGGGTTAAGCCTGTTGGCATCCTTTGATCTCTGCGATTTTTCTGAGGGGTAAGGGGAAAATTTACAAATCTAAGTTCAAAATTGGTTGTCCATAGGACAGTTGGATGGCCACTTTTGAATTAATAGATGGCCTAAGAAAATGCTTTCTTTAACCCATTAAGCACCAGTGCTCTCCCCTTGCTGGCATTAGACAGAGTAAAATAATAAAGTAGGGTGTGTCAGGGTGCATCGCCACTCAATGGGTTAACTAGACACATGGGCATGCCCTTGACGAGTAAAATCGTCTGGTGTTAGACAGAGTAAAATACTAAAGTAGGGTGCGTCAGGGTGCATTGCCACTCAATGGGTTAAACAGCAACTTACATGCTTTGTGGTATTTTTGTAATGTCTCAAAAGTTGTCAGCTACTGTTTGCTTTATCTTGTCATAACTATGGTATTTTTTGGAGGCCAGTTTTGACAACCTAGAATATTAGTATATACCTAACACTGTTTTTTGTTTGCTAACACTAATAGCAGCACAAAAAATTAAATTACATGCCATGGGGAAAAAGAAATGTTATTTGATACTTGGCATAAAATAATACACTCAGACAAATATGAATGAAAGTATGCTTTATTACCATTGGACTGCTTGCTGACATTGTTCCTTTTGCATGCACTTTATCACTTAGTGGGCAAATTATTTTTAATTATTATAATTAGTTAATCTCCTCATTGGTTTGCACCTTCAAATATGCTATGAATCACATTGTGACTGAAATATACTATTGTCCAAAGCATCAAAGATGCCAGGTCTCAATAATGTTCAAATATCTTGAAATATCTGGTGATAGGGGGGTATTAGAAGGGAGTAAGAATAACGTTGTATTCACTCGATTTTGCTCTGCATTCTTGTGCAAATTGAGTGAACTGGAATGTTCTTAAAATTAATTTATATTAGTTTTGGACAGGCCAAGATAATATCGCTTATTATCACATGCAAGTGAAGTGCTAAGTTATCACAGTCAAACAATTGCTGAAAAATATCTATGTTGCATTAAACTGTTTTCCTTCATAAAATTATTTTGTTTTGTAGCTACATATAGGTGTATAAGAGCTGCCCCCAATCTATTTAAGTCGGGCATATACTTGGATGAAACAGAAGAGAAGCAAGATGCATATTAAAATAGTCAAAAAAGAGGAAATATAGTGATTTGTGTAAATTTTTAGCATTGGCAACTGGTGAAGTGCTCACCACCATACACACACACACACACCAGTTGACATCAATTTTTGGAAGTTCACGATGGAAAATGTTCTTGTATTAGTTGGATCAATTCCATCAAGGTCGGGAAAATTATTGTCTCGAGGTGAAACTAAGTAAGTATAGGTTATTTTGAGGCAACGAGGTGAATAAACACATATCCCCGAGGTGCCTCAAAATAACGTACTTATTTTTCACACTGCGAGGTCGTGTTAATGAGTCAGAAAAGAAATAATTCTCAATGCCATTTTGCCTTCGCGATGTTGTTTTTTTCTCATTTTTTGTGCTGCAAAGACATTGCAGGTGAATATTAGAGGGGATTATTAATTGCAGGTGAATATTAGAGGGGATTATTAAACGGAAATTGATTAGAGGAGAATATTGAATATATTCCCTGACAAGAACAAAGGAAACCGAGCAGGGTGAAAAATAACTCCTTTTAATTAGGGGGTGTCTGCTAGAATTGCCGATGATGCCCTGCAGCAAAAATTGGGGGTGCATTATTTCTCTAAAAAAAGTTGGCGAGGGGGAGGTCAAAAATTTTTTTCCATACATTCAAAAAAGGAGCGAAAAAATTTTTTCAGACATAAACCAGTTAATTTAAGGGTCAAAAAATTTTTTCCATACAAATTCCTGTTAAAACATGCATGAACCCCTTATTTTTTAACCAATATCTGTAAAATTTAGGTCTATAAATTCCATCCAATTCCCTCTGGAAGCTACTTAATAACTCTACATTCTATCATTTGAAATCTTTCATTCCCTGCCAATCCAGATGATTTGCCCTGCCAATCCAGATGATTTGTCCTTGGGGGGTGTCACCTCCCCCACACACACACCCCCAAGGTTCATCCCTGCCCCCCCCCCCCAACTTTTTCCTCCTGTATGTAGTATGTACCAATGTTGCTTATACAGGTACGTACAGCACATAGTCGTAATGTTTATTATAACAAGTCTGACTGTATTTGGAATATTTTTATACTCAAAATGGAATAAGGATCAAAGCTCATGATTATGTATCTTTTTATACTGTATTTATAACTCGAACAGATTTATATAATAAATATTACAATTGAACCTTCAGGGATTTTGAAAGTGACCACTTTAATAATACAGGTTGACTGCTTAATACAGGTCTTGTAGAAAATCACCACAGCTTAAATTGCTTCAATAGTAGTCATCTGCACCAACTGAAAATACTGCAAGTTGACACTTTCAGTGATTACAGAAGTTCGAGTAATGAGATAAACAATTAAACTTAAAGCTTTGACATGTTGCCAAATCAAGATTTAATTATATATTGTATTATGTTTGCTGTATTTAAAATACTTTCCACTGACCGTTTAATAACAAAGTTTCAAAACAATGAAAAATTAAGTGTGGGTACTTCCGCACACCAGAAGACGCATGCATGCTGTGATGCGCATGTCAAGTAGCGACAATATCAAAAAATGTAAAAAATTACTGTAGGGTCCCTTTAAATAGTACTTATATCATGAAATTTGCCACATAACCATTTTATAACAAAGGGTGGCTGCTTAATACAGTGTCGCTTAAGGTTACAGAACACCTTTGAGTGTTAATTTTGCCTAAAATTTTTTTATTGGTTTCCATGAAAGCATTAGACTAGTTCTACTATCTGACCAAGTTTGAACGAAAAATGTTGAAAACTCGCAGAGTTATTTAATAAAATACATTTCGCTGCAATAAGAAAAACATTGAAAATGTAATATTCAAATTCAATTTTCTCCCGAAAAATTTTACAGTAATTACTGATTTTCAAACGAGTTGTGCTCCTGCGGGTTTTAACCAATTTTTCTCAAATTTTCACAGGACATAGCTAAAGACGTCAGTTTCAAAATTGTGTTCGGCTTTTTTTAAATTTTGGATATTTTAAAAATAAAGAGCAATTCACTCAAACAATTCAGAAATATATTGCAATCGTCAAAGAAATCGCAATATCAGCGGAATGACAAAATTAACAAAAATTTCCGAACACAATATTTTAGAACAACTATTTTACTGTATAAAAATGATATTTTCATAAATATAACTTAAAACCAGCAGGAGCATAACTCAAAAGCGTAACGGTACCGCGATTTAAGATTTTCCTAAATAATTCCTACAATTTTTTATTGTTTGTTAATTTTACAACTTTATCATATTTTGCATGCACTGGAGAACATTTGGTGAAAATTTGATGAAAATGGGACTGATTTTGAGCGCGCAGTAGCGATTTTCCGCAAAACGCCAAAAAGGGTGTCCTGTAACCTTAAATTACACAGTCAGGTTCGACTCAATCGACTGTATCTGTATTTTGAATTAGCAAAAATATCTGCGACTCTGCGAGCCGACTTCGGGACCGCTCATTATTTATTGCACAAGGGGGGATTGAGGAGAAACTGGGGGGTCTGAAAAGGGGGAGCTTTGAAAAATACAGAGAGATGAAAGAAGGGGGGCTTTCAAATATTTACCAGTTTGAAAAAAACAGTAGTTTTAAAAATGTATCACAAAACAACTTAACAACAAATAATGTTTATAGACCTAATATTCATAAATGGAAGCCAAGTCTCTTATGTTCATGTAAATAGACAATTCCCATTATAGGCTAATTTTAGAAATAGGCAAAGAGATGCAAATCCAGGCCGAATTTTGGTGAAAATAGTGGGGGAGGTGCAGCGATCTAACTCACAACCGCCATGGAAAGTTAGGGCTTATTGTAGAACAGGCCAATATCAACAAGGTGAGGTATGCATGTAGTGTACATATGTACCAGTGTATTAATAAACTATGAATGCATGATTCCAATCTTGCCCTTCATTACAATTGCTACAAAGTTTCTTTCAAAACATTGCATTAAAAGGGTACTTGACAGAGATGATTATGGCTATCACTGTTCACTTTTACGGGGAAAACTTTCTTATGTCATGAAGTGTAGATCGTAAGCAACCATCACATTTTCACTTTGTTCCATCATTGAAACTTTCCGAAGAGGAAGTGCATGACCGAAAAGGAGAGGTGCAAAAATTCTCAGGAGAGGTGCAAAAATTCTCAGGGGAGGTGCAAAACAATCTCGGGAGGTGCACACCTCTCCACACCTCCCCTCAAAATCCGGCCTTGATGCAAATAAATCACCATTGCTAGGAAGAGCATACTAAAATAAGTAAATCATTTCAAAGTTTGGTTGTGAAATGTTGTAAAATATGGAATATATAGCATTGCAAAGTTTGCAAATTTTGTATACTTTTGTATTGCATGCGAAAATTGCAATACAAAAGTATACACAATTTGCTATATATTTTCTACACTTTAGAACATTTCGCAACTGAACTTTGCAATTTTATTAATTTTAGTATGCCCTTCCTGGGAATATACTTTTTTGCTAAGATAAAAAATTAGTGTATGATGGGAATTGTCTATTGGTCTCCATTATCTATCTAGTTTTTGTTCCTCTCAATAAAGATCTTAAAGAGCGGGGGCAACGAAAAAATAATATAACTGTAGAGTTTCTCTTCAGCTCCCCCTGTCGGCCCTGTACAATAAATAATGAGCAGCCCTTACCATATTAATCCAACGTCCAAATATACAAATATCCTCCGTAAATCTCTACTCAGATTTCTCTACACATAAAAAACAGCGATATAATCTAACAATTCCATCATGAGACTTGATTTTCAGCCTACAACCCTAAGAACCCTTTCAATCTACATCTGTATTTATAAAATCACACTCATTGCTGTCCGCCATCTTGTATATTTCGTCGTACCCTCGGAATAACTTCGTATGCTCGGGATCGGCTGGCGATGACGTCATGTCATTTTGAGCATAGAGATTATAAATAACACTAGAGGAGGCATTGTAATCTTAAGTCAGTAAAAAAAAGGGAACGCGACTATTGGGGGGCAAATTCAAGTCCCGGATGTGTATTCGTGTTCCCATTGGTGACGAGTTTCAAATCAGCCAATGAGAGCACGATTTTATATCCGGGACTTGAATTTGCCCCCCATTAGCTGCGTTCCCAATTTTTAAACTCGATGCCTCCTCTAGTGTTATTTATAATCTCTATGATTTTGAGGCCAGCGAAATAACTTTTTCCTTCATAACCTTGAACATTTATAACTCGTCCACTTCTTCACATCCTCCAAAAGGAGAAAATTGCAACTAAAATTGCAGCAAAGATCGCCCGTGTAAACGGGCCTTTAAACGGATAAGTTTGACATTATTAAAAATGAAATTTGTTTGAGTTGGCGAGGAGTTGAGTAAATTCGAGTTAACTCACTGGAGTAAATTACTGTAAAAATTAGGCAAATCGAGGGAAATTGGATTTAGTTCGGTTATAGCGGGGAGTTTGAGTTAAGGGATTTCGAGTTCGCGGGGACAGTAGTATTTGTAATGCAAGAACATAAAGATTATCGATAAGACTGATCCACCAACAATACACGAAATCGAAACTGGTTTCAATACGCCCAGGTGACCGTATCGATTGTCGGAAATTAGATTCAATGTCAACATGATGATGTTTTCTATCAGGAGCAAAATATATCCAATGACCATCAGTGCGCGGCGATTTTTTATTGGAAAGAAGGCTTCTGAAGAGTGGTAACAAGAAGGAATAACAACAACGAGTGCGATAGATCTATTTGCGCAGCAAGTTAAACAAAGCCCCATGACAGCCATAACGAACCAATGAACGAGAAACCAAAAGCAAATGTATATTATGAACGTGTAGCCACAAATAACGATTGCAAATAACCTTGACACGAGTGTAGAAAGTTGCCACATCAGAAACAAGACGGTGTTAAGAAAACCAAATTCTTGATTTTCATTCTTCGCTTTCTCTCTTTCAAGTGTCGTGATACTCCAAGCCAACGAAACCAGTGAAATCAGAACTGAGAGTACGTTGTACCATGGGAATTCCCACAGTCTTAACATGATGTAGGTTTGAATACACCATTGCGGAGCGGACTCTGTGATCGTCTCCATATATTGTAACTTCGCGATTATGAAATCATGAGAATCCGAAAAAATTGCATAGATGTAACGAGGAACCATGGACAATTGAAGAAGGCCAAATATACATGTACATGCGTTTCGGTGATACAAGAACGATATATAGTTTACGAAAAATAAAGGATAGATGATAAAAAGAAACGTTAACCAAAACCAAACAGTTTCTCCATTTCTCCGATACTGAACAGCCACGTAAATATCGGATAACACATCAAATATGTGCAACAGCAATGCTACGATAGGCTTCAATCTCATCTTTGAAGTTTAAAACAATTAAAAATAGATACGACTAATTCAAAAAAGATTGTCTTTCCTAAAATCTTTAACATTGAGCACGCAAAGCAACTTGCATCGAGAGCGTATACGCTTTTTGTTGCATGTACAAACCGTAAATAAAATGTCAAAATACTGTGTGTATACAATCAAGACGTACGATGAGGACAATTCAGTTATGGACAAAACATTAGATTTTCATAAAATAATGAAAAATCCAGACATTGCGCGCTCAATGTTAAAGGTGTAAGGTTTAGGAAGAGCAACCTTTTTCGAATTAGCTTGATAAGTATATTTGGCACATTGATTAAAACAAATGAAAAAATTAAAACTACTCTGTTCTATGTATTATTAGTAATTTAGTAGTAAAAGACCCTATATTATTATGTCGATCCACTATGGTGTGTATAATATGACGTAGCACGATATATAGCAGTGGATTGAAGAGAAAGTGAAACTTATCAATCATAGCGATTTGTAGGTGCTAACGTGGTTACCTATTGATTTGTAGATATTTGTAGGTGGTAAAACTTGAAAACATTTCCAAATCGTAGCAAACCAACTTCCTAGCTCACAGGCAATTTTGGGACTGGTTTACATATGGACATTTTCAATCTTTAACTAACTGGGCTGGAATTTTAGAAAGTTTTTCTGTAAATCCTTGTAAAACGGTGTTTTCGATTACATAACAAAATTGTCGACCTAGAAATTTATTCCCGACTGAAAATAAGTCTTCGTGTAATTGTAATTCTACGGTTGTATGCATGCCGTGGCGCAAATCAGGTTTTTTCAACAAATGAAATATATCATGAACATGTTACATGGTTTGTTTCAATCGCACCAAAAAGTATGGTTCAGTCTGAACTTGATTAAGCTTCCTACAATTTCCCATCATCCTCATATGACTGTAAGAAACGATATTTTCCAGTTTGAATTATGCCTTAGACAGTCGGTAGACAATAGACATACAAGCGTCGTTGCAGTTCTAACGCCCATTTCTGCTAACGCGGAAGACGCTGCGTGCAGTTTCTACATTAATACTCAATTCACACAAGACTTACCAACGTTGAATGTGAAAAGCAAATGCAAATTCGATCGCTGGAACACCAAAAAAGAAAATTACTGGCTTTTCAAATCTACTGCTTGATCAAGTTTCAAAATAATACAACTGATACGAAGATTTGAAATTATTCAAGACAGTCAAGTACATAAATATTTACATAAAAATGGAAACTTGATAATTCAGATGGATGTTTATATATTTACATGTACATCGATATTCACATCAAAATTAAAAATAATAGTTCTGGTGGATATGTTTATGTCAATCGAAATAACTGAAAATCTAACCGATTCCGATGACAAATTGACAGTGGAAAATAACAGACTTTTCAACTCTTGAAAATTAATTATCTCGAAATCAGTGCTTCCACTTTCAAAAATTGAAAAATCCTTATTTTTCGAAGAGACCCTGGGGACAAGGTTGTATTTTTCCTGTTTTAATTTGGACTAAAATTTCCTTCAAAAATCAATTTTCTTCAAATTTCCGTTCATTAAGAATTTCTGCCATTTTACGTAGATTTTTGCAAAATCATGCCAGACTATTGCAAATAAAAATGTTTTGAATATCGTTTGCAGCTTCAATATGCTTTACACTAGCTGGATTTACAAATTACCTTATTTTTCTGTTATATACATGAGACAACTAGATAATATGTGAATGTGAAACGTCAAAACTCAACACTGTAAAAGGGAACAATAAACTTATATAATATGATTATATGAATGAAAGTATGCTTATTTCTCTTGCAGGAAAGTTTGATTGTTTTCGAAGTTAGGGCAAAAAGTGGTTAAAAACATGTGCTTATTTGATTTTTTCAGCAAATTTTGAAAAATTCTTAAATTTCCTATTTTTTTCTAAAATTTCCTTCATAAAGCCAAAATTTCCTTTGAAAAGGAAACGTCCTTAACTGGAAGCGCTGCTCGAAATGGACTCAGATAAAACTCAGATGTGCGACAAAATTTACTATGACACTACGTTAATTGTTGTTTTGGAATTTGGTTCATTGAAAATATATCATGTCTTGACTCATAATGTGGAATCTAGAAGAATTTGGTAAGACTTATCAACTGAAATTATTATCATAAATGCATTCCCAGAAGAATGCAATAATCATTCGCTTTATTTGACGCTCGTCCCGCGGTTAAGAAAGGACATGATGTTTTATGCATATTCACTCAGTTTATGATTTATCGCAGGCAAAGGAACTCTTAAAGCTTTATTTCAAACTTGACACATTTTTTTCATTTCTGAAAAAGCTAGGAAACTTTGGATATTTGGGGCGAAAGATTTGGGAATGTTGGGAGTCTTAATTTCGGAAAACTTGATAATGCACGCCAAACTAAAGGACATGCATACAGACACTGATTTTCTGTCCCTTTTCGTGTCATTTTGCCAAATACTATGCTGTTTGTTGAATGATTCTGTTAAGTTTACGAGGATGGAAGAAACAGTACAGTAAAAAAAACTTGACGGAAACCACCAAACTTCATTATTTTTCATGCAGTATTGAACAACCATGTAAATATATAATTTATTCACTCCAAAGTGACTATACTTAATATTACTGCATATAAAGATATCAAATAGTGTGGTGTATAGCGTACTCACAAGATGTTTCTACAAATAATGTTATTATGACAACGGAATTAGCCGCTGTATTTGCGATCACTTTGCAGTCAAAAAAAGTTGCGAATTTTTTTTTTCTGGGACTGGGGATCTTTTCTTGGAAACTGTGCGTTGTTCTCTAAATTAAAACAGGAAATACATGTTTTCATAAGAGTTGTGTAAAAACAAAAACAATATCAATGAAACTGATTGGGCGAAGGAACAGCTGTACAGCAGTTGTTCACAGAGGGTGGGGAAGGATATTTTCGTGAGCCGTGAATAGTGAGTATTTGCTCGTGTGAAATGCTCGATTTTAGTGTCGTGAAATGTGATTTGTTCTACAGCCGTGACGCGTGATTGTTGAAAAAAATGCTCCGTGAAATGAGAATTAAACAAGCCTGTTTCATGAACTGGCATTATTATAGTGATTATTATAATAACCATAATACGCGATAATCAACTTTATATCAACTCACTCGATTGCACAAGACTAAAAACTTCGGAGGCCTTTCGCGAGGTTCCTGGCGGTGAGCACAAGATTGTTGACGGTAAGGACAAGGTTCCTGCCAGTGAGGACAAGCTATCTGGCGGTGTGGACAAGGTTCCTGCCGGTGACGACAAGGTTGCTGGCGGTAAGCACAAGGTTCCTGGCGGCAAGGACAAGGTTCCTGGCGGTGAGGACAAGGCTCCTGGCGGTGAGGAAAAGGTTCCTGCCGGTGAGGACAAGATTCCTACCGTTGCGGACAACGTTGCTGGCGGTGAGGACAAGGTCCCTGGCGGTGAGGACAAGGTTTCTGGCGGTGAGGACAAGATTCCTGGCGGTAAGGCCTAGGTTTCTGGCGGGGAAGACAAGGTTCCTGTATTTGAGGACAAGGTTCATACCGGTGAGGACAAAGTTCCTGCCGGTGAGGACAAGGTTCCTGGCGGTGAGGACAAGGTTTCTGGCGGTGAGGACAAGGTTTCTGGCAATGAGGACAAGGTTCCTGGCCGTGAGGTCAAGCCTTATCCCGCTAAGGACAAGGTTCCTGGCGGTGAGGACAAGGTTTCTGGCGGTGAGGACAAGGTTTCTCTCGGTGAGGACAAGGTTCCTGGCGGTGAGGACAAGGTACATTGCGGTGAGGACAAGGCTTCTGGCGTTGAGGACAAGGTTCTTGGCGGTCAGGACAAGGCTCCTGGCGGTGAGGACAACGTTCCTGGCGTTCACGACAAGGTTCCTGGCGGCGAGGATAAGGTTTCTGGCGGTGAGGACAAGGTTCCTGGTGGTGAGGACAAGGTTCCTGGCGGTGAGGACAAGGTTCCTGGCGCCGCGGTGGGAACAAGGTTCCTGGCGGTGAGGACAAGGCCGTGGCGTTCAGGACAAGGTCACTGGCGGTGAGGACAAGGTTTCTTGCGGTGAGGACAAGGTTCCTTGTGGTGAGGACAAGGTACCTGGCGGTGACAACAAGGTTCCTGGCGGTGAGGACATGGTTCCTGGCGGTGAGGTCAAGGTTTCTGCCGCTAAGGACAAGGTTTCTGGCGGAGGGGAGAAGGTTTCTGGCGTTGAGGACAAGGTTCCTGGCGGTGAGGACAAGGTTCCCGGCGGTGAGAACAAGGTTTCTGGCGGTGAGGACATGGTTTTTGGCGGTGAGAAGAAGGTTCCTGGCGGTGAGGACAAGCTTCCTGACGGTGGGGACAAGGTTCATGGCGGTGAGGACAAGGTTTCTGGCGGTGAGGATAAGGTTCCTGGCGGTGAGGAGAAGGTTCCTGGCGGTGACAACAAGGTTCTTGGCAGTGAGGAGAAGGTTTCTGGCGGTGAGGAGAAGGTTTCTGGCGGAGAGGACAAGGTTCCTGGCGGTGAGGACAAGGTTCCTGGCGGTGAGGACAAGGTTCTTGGCGGTGAGAACAAGGTTCCTGGCGGTGAGAAGAAGGTTCCTGGAGGTGAGGACAAGCTTCCTGGCGCTGGGGGCAATGTTTCTGGCGGTGAGGACAAGGTTTCTGGCGGTGAGGAGAAGGTTCCTGCCGCTGAGGAGAAGGTTCCTGGCGGTGACAACAAGGTCCCTGGCGGTGAGGACAAGGTTCCTGGCGTTGAGGACAAGGTTCCTGGCGGTGATGACAAGCTTCCTTGTGGTGAGACAAGGTTCGTTGTGGTGACGACAAAGTTCCTGGCGGTGACAACAAGGTTCCTGGCGGTGAGGACAAGGTTTCTGGCTGTGAGGAGAAGGTTCCTGGCGGTGAGGAGAAGGCTCCTGGCGGTGAGAACAAGGTTCCTGGGGGTGAGGACAAGGTTCCTGGCGGTGAGAACAAGGCTTCTGGGGGTGAGGACGAGGATCCTGCCGGTGAGGACAAGGTTCCTGGCGGTGAGGACAAGGTTTCTGGCGGTGAGGACAAGGTTCCTGGCGGTGAGGGCAAGGTTTCTGGCGGTGAGGACAAGGTTCCTGGCGGGGAGGACAAGGTTTCTGGCGGTGAGGACAAGGTTTCTGGCGGTAAGGACAAGGTTGCTGGCGGTGATGACAAAGTTCCTGTGGGCGAGTACAAGGTTCCTACCGAGGAGGACAAGCTTCCTGGCGGTGAGAACACGGCTTCTGGCGGTGAGGACAAGGTTTCTGGCGGTGAGAAGAAGGTTCTTGGAGGTGAGGACAAGCTTCCTGACGGTGGGGACAAGGTTCATGGCGGTTAGGACAAGGTTTCTGGCGGTAAGGAGAAGGTTCCTGGCGGTGAGGAGAAGGTTCCTGGCTGTGACAACAAGGTTCCTGGCGGTGAGGACAAGGTTCCTGGCGGTGAGGACAAGGTTTCTGGGGGTGAGGACGAGGTTCCTGCCGGTCAGGACAAGGTTCCTTGTGGTGAGACAAGGTTCCTTGTGGTGACGACAAAGTTCCTGGCGGTGACAACAAGGTTCCTGGCGGTGAGGACAAGGTTTCTGGCTGTGAGGAGAAGGTTCCTGGCGGTGAGGAGAAGGCTCCTGGCGGTGAGAACAAGGTTCCTGGCGGTGAGGACAAGGTTCCTGGCGGTGAGGACAAGGTTCCTGGCGGTGAGAACAAGGTTCC